CCCTATTTAATCATTGAATTGTCGCTAGTAATTTCATTGGCTTGTTTAGTTAGCTAGTTACTCATAAAAAATTATTAAAACACAATGTCGGTGCATTATAGACACCAACAAATGCGCCACATGAAGTCTCATAGCTCCTAAGAGGGCCACCTAGGTGGGGAAGCAGGTAATTATCTTAAGGGGCCACCTTCCAATCCTTTGACTTAAAGTTTGATCCATAAGGCAGTGGAGAAGCGTTCCCACCTTTGATGGTGACAAAAACAGGTTCATAAGCCATTCGATCCTTTTGGATTCTAGACTCAATGCATACCATAGGTTCGGAATCAAAGTTTTCCAGTTCCCCTAGGTAGACCATTATGTTCACCGGTCCAGTTTTTAAGCACCAGATGTTCACTTTTCTGAGGAACACCCAGCTGTTTGAAGTCATTCAGTAAGACCTACCTAGCAGAGGCTATCAGCGCTTAGCCACATAAGATAATTTCTAGAGGTCGCACCAGGTCGTTTATGCGGTGTTATGTACTTATATACCCAACATATTTGTATAATAAAGTAATCTTTGAAGCCAGATGACTGGGTTATCGTTATATCGAAATAGCCAAATGAATTATTAAACTTCCAATAATTCAAGAGTTTAAGTAGTGTTTTCTTTTTTTATCTCCGTAATCTAATGATACAACTAAATTACTAATTGTTTAATTCACCTATTTTGAGTCATCTTTAATTAACATCCTAAGAAAGAATACTCAAGTAATTGTGAAACTTTCAAATTATTCATTTTTTGTGAGATTATGTATTTGGATAGCCTATCAGTAGTAGTGTTACAAAACAGTTGTCTTCCGACTACTGGAATTGTGCATTCTGTACTCACATGATACCTGGATATAACACCTCAATTCGTCAAGTGCATGCAAAATGAAGTGCTGAATCTGTTCATCTTATAGGATGAAGCGTCGATAGATATTATTATTATTTATTTTTGTTCCCTTGGGTTCCTAGTTTTATTTATCTCTTTATTTATTTATTTTTTTTGATTACAGCTTGATTCCACACCGTATTTTTGGTACAAGTGTGGAATTTTCAGCGTGGATATCGGTAACCCAAAATTCGCCGGCCGACCATAGATATCATGTGTGCGTCGGCGTGGGCTCGAACCCCGGACCATGTGCATGGTCGGCGAGAGTCCTAACCACTGTGCCACCGACGCGCACAACATAGGGCTTCAACTGAACATCTCCACTTGCTTCTGTCTTCCTTCTACTGTACTTTTCACCTGCATTCATGCATGTTCATCCATACTGTTTCAGCTCCTCTTCACACGATCTCCTCCATGTCACTCACACTTGGACGTCCCACTCGCCGCTTCCCTTACAGCTGCCACTCGAGTGATGGCCTGACGCGCGCGCGATGTCACCTAGCGGCCTCCTCAGCGAGTGAGTGTCCAATGCATCTCCACTTTCTCCTGAATACTTGTTGGCCGATTGGTTCTTATGTTGTTTGCTCCCAGCCATAGTTTCTTGTTGGTGATTCTTTCCGGCCCAGCCATCTGATCTTCAGTATAGATCCAGCGAAGACAGTTAGTTGTTGATAAAGGTCTGCAACAGGATGTTGGAAATATTCTTTGTGACCCGCCCACCCGCCAAGTTTCTGATCTGATCCGTATAGAAGAACTGACCGACTTGACGTTTGTATTGAAAATCCGACCGAATTTTGTTGTTGATCCTGGCTGAGTGACGAAGATTTCCAGATTGATTTCAGGTTGATGAATAATGTGTTTCTCGCCTTCCCCTCGATTCTCGCTCGATTTGACATCCTCGTCCTTTCCGACTTCCTGTAGTTGAGACAATGCTCCCTCCCTGGATAAGTGAGTGAATTAGGTAAGCTCTTTCAAATCCCTTCCGTTTATGGTGATTGGCGCTGGATGCTGCTGCTGTTGTTGTTTTTTTTTTGGTTGGTTATTTTTATAACCTCCGTATTGTCTATGTTCACCTGGCGTCCTGTCTTCACTGTCTGCTTCTTCGACCAGTTTGTCGGTTTTCGCTTGTAAGTCTTCGATTTTGTGTGACATCAAATACAGATCATCCATGCGTGAAATCCAGGTCTTCTCGTTTCCCACTGTCTGACGCATAATCCAGTCAGTCCACCACAATTAGGAATATCATTGGTGATAATAAGCACCCCTTGTCTGACATCTGTGTTTACTCCAAACGTTTCACTGAGTTTTTCGTTGTGGATCACTTGACATGGATATGATTGTGGTTTATTCTTCTCCTTAACCAAACTATATTTTCCATATCATTGGTTTATTTATTTTTTCAATCATACTATTATTTGTGTCATTGTTTCATTTTAATATCATTATTGTAAAGTAATTTGGGATTTTTATAATTCCTGAGATCCTGTGGAATCTTTTGTTAATAGTTGTTGCCATACTGCATACAACTACAAGTGCTGAACACAGTTTTTTTTTTCAACACATAAATAAATATCTCTATCTGTAACTGTTAAGGTTAGGTGCCATTTTTGATCCATTTTAGACGCCATAATCAAACTTCTAGCTGTTCCATAAACAGCCACAGTGTAACAACAGAAGACAAGGGCCAGACAACAGATCCTTTATCAAGGAAACCAACACTTATTTATAGATTTTCATGTGCATTATTATAGATTATTGTTAGCAAAAAAAACACAGTCTTCTGAATGGTTGTTTCTCACTGAAAGTTGACCTTTCTTCTCTTTGTGGCTGTTTCTTGAATGTCTGATCATCTGTGTTAACTGTATCCGCCTACGCAAAGTCTTTGTTCATATCTTTCTCACGACCAATATTTGGGACATAAATTAATGTCTACCAATTTGGCTAGCAGCCACCTATCACCATAACAGACTAAAGTTACATGCGTTTGTGTGTTCGGGTTTGTTAAATGATCAAATATTTACGAAGGATTTGAGCCAGTAGATTCTTGTTCTCTTCATCTGTAAGAAAGGGAAGTATTTGACTGTTTTAATTACTGGAGCCGGTGTCCATCGGGGTGCTGTTCTCTTGTCTTTTCTATCTTCTTTATTTTTACACGACTACCCTTATCCCGACAAAGCCAATTTTGTTAAGCATACTGATAATTTGAGTGTTTGCATGCTCGTCACACCTGAATCAGTCTGTTTCAAAATAAATAGCTTTTCATCAGAAATTACTCAGTGGTCCTTGTCAAATGGTATTCAGCGAAATGTCAGATTGATAATTTTAGTTAACGATACAAACGGGATTTATATGAGGTGTCTCATTCCCATGATTCTACTATCAAATATGCCACTGAAGTTGAATGAACCTAAGTATTTTCTCTTATCTATCTTAGTATTTTCAGATCATATTAATTTCTAGAAAGATATTTCGTTTATACAATTAGTTCCCTTGATAAATTTCGATAAAGAAAGGAAGACGGAATTTGCAGCATAAAATGATATCATTCTATTTCACAGGTTCTCATCAGCTGTAGACTACCTGAAATTACAATGGTTATATAAACGATAATAAAATACTTGAATGTTTGAGTGGTAGAGTAAAAAAGAGATAAAATCGACGCCTCCAAAATGAAAGCATTACAATTTTTAGTTTAAGTTTTCATCATCAATTTATACGCTTTTAAAGTTAAAAAAGTGGGAGGGGTAAGACAGAAAACAGAAAAAATTGATTGACAGAACAGTGTTGTAGGTTCACATAGCAACTCCAAAAAACAAAAGCGGTTACAGTTTATGAGATTAAGATTTGTTCAGTGAGTTGAGATTACTGAATTAGATGACTAATTAATGTAATCAAAATCAAAATTCATTTACCAAGGGAGTGAGAGGTTAATCATACTCTCTTTCTGTAGGCATAAGTCTGGTTTAAATCGTTTGATTGTGATCGCTTCAGCAAATCGTAGTAAATTTGCTGTCCTTTGTCTATTTAGTATTTTGAAGGACTTAGAAATCTCTACGAGATGTCCGGTATCAACAATATGTCTGGTAAATGCACTCAGAGAATATTTGCTGCCTTTCAGGCACAGGTTTCTTGGATTATGTTCAAAAAACCGGATAGAAGCCCTTATATTTCGTTTAATCTTCTACGTGATGAAGTTAAAACAATCTGGTATCATACGGTCTCTACTTTTACAGTTTTTCAATTCTCGTATTTTATCTATTATTCTTCATTGATTCCCCCTTCATCTTTTCAGGGATACTTAAAAGAAGACTTTGTCACACTACAAAGGGCACTAAATGCTGTCTGTAGGCCGAGTGGAAATACCTCTCAACCAATTTGTCAATACTGTTGTAGATAGAGACTTAAACTCATGCAAGAAATTAGCGAATAGTATCTTGTTGGATTCTAAGCATCATCTTTACACACAACTTAATACTTTTACGACTAGGTACTAAAAACTCAACGACACCTTATTTGTCACGCATTCCTATGGGATGAGACAAGTGTTGGGTATTAAACTACTGAATTACTGCCAAGTACTAGGAGACGCGCAGCTGAAGCCCTATGTTCCTCTAGGAATTAAAGGATATAATAATAATACTAGGTAAACACCCTTTTTATTACTTCTATCGTCATTATATTGTTGTCACTATTTTCTGGCCTTTCATTTCATTCACGTTAATATGAATGTAAATGGCCTGGTAATTATTTCCCCCACTGTTCTATGTAATGTAAAGAGAAAATTAGATGCATTACAATATCCCATGGTGGAAATTACGCTGTGTCAAAGATAGTGTTTGTGCGTTGGTGGCACAGAGATTATGACTTTCGCCGATCATCCACATGGTCCGGGATTCGATCCCCCAACCGACGCACACCTAATATCTATGTTCGACCTGCAAAATTCGGGCTACATGCTGAAAACTCCACACCTGTACCAAAAATACGGTGTGGAATCAAGCTATGATTTTAAAAAAATTATGATATAGTAACAACATTTCATAACTTATTTTCTTTGGTTTTTCTTTTGTTCTTTTTATTTTTACAGTTGCATTCAGGATTCAGTGATTTTGCTTATTCACAAAAAGATTATCCTCTATTTGGAGAATGGATGACGCCTCTTTGGCCAGTCATATGTGTGTGTATGCACATAAACATGTATGCTTGTGCTGGCATATATATGTAGTCCATAGATATATGCAACTTCGATTGAATTACAGCATCAGAATATCGTCAAATTTACGTCTGTGACAAGATGTTAAATAAAAATTATTATTATTATTAGTTATATAAAACCACTGTTAGCTTTTAATATTACTGTGAACAGAAATTGTTTTTTCTGTTTTTTTTTAGAATTAATGAATTGTCTTTCTAAATTTAGTACATTTTCTTTTCTCTGTCATCTTCGTTCTCCATGTTGTTTGTTCTCCACGTGTTGTGTCAACTCGACTGTCAACCTGACTCTGCTTTTTTTCTTTCGTTTTTCGTCCGTTTTTGCACCACAATGCGTCGTCTGTCATAATTATACATGGAAGTCCCTGTCACATGTAAATAAAACAAAAACAATTCTTCTATATGCATTGCTTGTCTTTCTTGCCACCTTTTTTCTCTAATAACTGAACTGTATTCTTCTTTATATGTAAATGATTTGTTACATTTTCAACTGATGTATTATTGTACACACTCTTTCACCTTCTTCTGTGTATATTTATCAAAGAAAAGAGGATTGTTTTATTGTCAAGTCTTAGCTGGTCAAGATTCTGTCCACTTCTTTCTGAAAATTTCTTTAATTATATATGATACCATTGTTTTCATTGATTGTTTTGTAGTAGATTCATTCAAGATGATGTTTCCTTCACCCTTGATAATATTGAGTGTTTGTCTGATCTTCTCTATTGTTGTTGTTGTTGTTGTTGTTACTGTTCTTCCGCTTCTTCTTCCTCTTCTTCATTTCGGCTACTCCCGCTTCCTGTGTCTTCTTTGCTATAAGGCTGAAATGTACACAGATTCTTCCTCTTTTCTCAAGATAATTATTTTCAGTGCTTTGTAAAGATAATAATAATGAGAAAAAGAATAACGCTTATAATAAGAACTTCCTGTAAGTTTTATTTTGAGATACTGGTTATCTACTTGTGTTATTGCATTCTGTATGTACTGAATTCCCTTCTTCTTTACTCCCCTCCGTCTCTCTCTCTCTCTGTCTGTCTCTCCTTCCTGTCTCTGTGTGATGTGCCGACAGCCGCCTGTAGCTTCGTGTGCCTATTATTGCTATTAATTTTGTTCTTTTGACAGAGGTTGTTTAGCTTACCTCTCGTTGTCCTTTCTCTATCACATTCATATCACACTTATGCAGCAGTCACTTATTATTCTAGTGAGTCTAATCGTTTTGTTTACTTCTGTTCCTACATGTTTATACACACACACACCTATTTGCCACTTTTTTAGCGCCATATTTGACCCATGAACATATTTATATGTATACTGCTGTCGTGGCCAACAATGCCGTCATCATTGGTGTTTACGAGGAGAAATGGAATGCATGACAAACAGGTTAATGAATATCAGAAAGTAAACAAACAAAGCATCAAGAGTACACAAGGGAAAAAAGAAGAAGAAATACTACACTTAGACATTTTCACATTTATCTCTTTTGCTCTTTGAGGCGCACCAGGGATGGGTGCGGGATTGTGTTGTTTATTAAACTAGCTGATATTTTCTATTCATGTTTGCGTCTGCGTTTTTTCTTGTATTATGACCCATTTTTCTCTCGGGGTGGAATAAATCAGATAGATATTGCACAATTATTATTATCTTCGTGTGTGTGTGTGTGTGTGTGTGGTTTATTAATCGTTGACCGCGGATTGAGAATTTAGATGCTTACTACAGAGAGTTATTAGTGTGATGATTGAAAATGAAACGGAAGTCTGCTTTAGTCGATCATATTGCAACAGCTTCAGCTATGTGTAGAGGACGTAAGCGAACTGTACGTGACAACGACTTCGGAATTCGGTATATAACCCTGAAAGCTGTGTTGACATCCATGCGATGTCCAGTATCGACCAAGTGTGACAGGATCGAGCTTTTTATGCACTTAATCCCCCCTCCCCCGCTGAACCAAACGTAGACAAAGAACTCCAGGTCATCCGAGACATTCTAAGCGAGATCGGATATCCAGAGAAGTTCATTAAAGCCAACATAGGTTACAATTGTCGTAAACATGAACTGCCAACTGTGGAGAAAAAGCCTTTGTTTTTACGTCTCCAATTCAAGGGAGATACTCCTGTAGAGATTCTATCCCAATGTTTAACCAGGGCGATCAAGAAAACTTTCTACTCTGCACGTCTGTGTCTATCCTTCACTAGCCGTCCAATGTTCACCCAGCGACCAAAAGATGTCTTAACTAACCTTAGCTCTTCTTCATGCATATACCATTTCAACTGTTCCTGTGGTTCAAGTTATATAGGGCGCACGATTAGGCAGGTTCGTCTACGGGTTGGAGAACACTTACCAGCTTGGTTCAGCAGGGAGAAATTAAGTGCATAAAAAGCTCGATCCTGTCACACTTGGTCGATACTGGACATCGCATCGATGTCAACACAGCTTTCAGGATTATATACCGAATTCGCAAGTCTGGTTGTCCAGTAGGATTCAAATGGCGCAGCTTTTGTATTGTCCAATACTTATCAGTAGCTTCACTGACTAAGGCATGAAACTCAATCAAATCTATCTTACATAGTAAAGAGTTTTATGCTTAGGAACACAATATTCAGTGAAGAGAATCTTTTCAACAAATTTATTATCAAGCTGTCCCATCGCATATATATATATATATATATATATATATATATATATATATATATATGGCTTTTAAGAAATTATATCTGGTGTGGGAATTAAATGATAAGTGTGAATACATAAAATAATAATAGTGATGTGAAATGCAATTAAAATATTTGTGATTATAATCATAGTTCACTGTCAAGTAGCAAAACAACCAATGTTACATATAGAATAATTCATAGAACTTGGAAGGAGTGTGCAGTTATAGGATTAGTAGGCCAATATAAAACGTTACGTAACATGGTGTGAAATTCGATAAGATAGAATTCAATATTGCAGAAAATTTCGGATTCAGAACGACAAGTATGACAAGCGGAAACAATTCAAATTGAGAATGGTAATAATAATAATCGTAGTAATGACAGAAAGGTATATAGATTAACTAAATAAATAAATGTCTATCTCTTTATGGCCAAGGCAGAAGTACAACACAAAGGGCTGACTTTAATTCATAACTGACCAAGGCCTCCTCTGCCTTCAGAAGTCTATAACGAAGAAAGCGCGGCGAGTTAGCATGGATTCGATAGATGATCTTCAAAACATGGTCAGGGTTGGTAGAGTGACATGATTCGATCAAGTGTTCTAGAATAGAGCTTCGCATACTGTCCCTTTATCCCTTGTAAACCCATGCTGTCTGTTTCCGACATAGAACTTTGCACCGATGTGCGACAGTTCAAGCCGCTACACTCCATGTAGCACACAAAGAAAGAGAAGGTAGAAGAAATGCATAATAGAGACAGTAAACAGAGGTGTGAGACAAAAAAAAAGAAGTAACGAAGAATAAAACAGTTTAATTGGAAACCATAAGTCACAAGGAGTGGATGCATCTGCGCCATTGAGAATGATTTTGAGCCAGCCATATGACCAATTGTTTCCAACCATTGGTTTTTACTGTCCCGAGGACCCCAACTCATGCTGGAATATGTTTTTTTATTACAGCTTGAAATCACTCTGTATTTTTGGTACAAGTATGGAATTTTCAACATGTGATATCGATAGCCCAAATTTTTCAGGCCGACCATAGATATCAGGTGTGCGTCGGCAGGGGTTCGAACCCCGGACCATGTAAATTGTCGGCGAAAGTCCTAACCGCTGTGCCACCGACGCTCATTTCCGTGTGGAAAGGGTCCTCTACCTGCACCCAATGCACCTTACTGCACAAGAGCAGGTGAAATGATAGATGCACATAGAGGCGACCAGACGGGGGAGTTTATCTTTTACAGAGATATAGAACAACTGATGTTTATCTTCTTTATATAATGATCTTGTGAGGCGCCATTTCCGCGCATATTATTATTATTCACTAAGACAATGAGTTGCCAATCCGATAAACATTGGCTCAAATCGTATTATGAATCATGTTCTTTTTTTCCGGTCAGTTTCAGTCCCACCACCATTATAATCTCCCAATATTGAAATATTGGAGAAGATTTGTGCCTCAGGTGAACGAATTTGACTTCGTTGCGTTCTCTGAGCTAAAACCTGTACTGAGGATGTTATCTAGAAGGATAAAGAAAGCTTTGCAATGAAATCAACCGGCTTAGAGAACACAATCAAATCAAAACAAAAAAACGAACCTCCCAATAGGTTATTCCTATTGACATTATTTTTGACATACACTTATAAACGTTCATGTTTGAAATGATACAAAAATCTAATACATTCTGGTTACAACAAAACATGACTTATGAAATCGCTTAACTCAGAGTCACTTTTATTATAATTGTAATAATGCAATGCCTGAAGATAAAATCAATTTCGTATGAATTACTTTGATTATCATAGAGATAGGAAATTAGTTCAGTGTGTTTTTCATTCATATGTTTCCTTTAGTTAGTATGGGAAAAATTGCTTCCCCTGAATCATGTGGTGTATGTATGTATATAGATAGTAGGAGTTTTTAATATCAGAAGATTCTAACTATCTGTAATTTAATCAAAGTTGTAGATAGTATAGAGTTATGGTTACACACTACAGTCCCCTTGCTAGAATTACAATAACCAAGGATAGGCAGTATTCTTTGAAAACGAAGGTTAAGTTCGATGGTGTATACCTACTGATCTGCAACTCCATAAAAAAGACAAAAAAAGCATCATGCCGGCTGGCAGAGAGCATTAAAAAATACCCCTATTCAATTCATGACTGTTCCCGCAATTATGAGTACCAATTGTCGCTCCCTGCCGGCTAAAATTAACTGTCTTCAATCGCTGGTGTCTTCCATTATATATCATAATACTGGGATCATATCACTTCAAGAAACATGGCTTCATGATCTATATGATGACAATCTAGTGTATCTAAATAATTTCAAACTATTCAGACAAGATCGGTGTAGTTCCAGGAAGAAACGCGGTGGCGGTGTCGCCATCTTCATCAATTCACAATGGTGTACGTCTAATAATGTATGTTTCAAATTCTCTAGTGACAATATTGACTGTCTCACCGTTAAGTGTCGACCTAAACATTTGTCAAAATACAACTACATTTACATCTCGAACATGTATATTGCTCCTGGATGCAACTCCACAGAATTATCTTTATTTGCGGATGAATTTACTTCCCTTGCTGCCACCTCCTTCGGAAATTCCTTGTCTATAGTTACTGGTGATTTTAATTCTAGTGATCACAGCTTCCTAATTTCACTTGGACACGATAATATTGTCAACTTCCCGACTAGAATGGACAACACTCTTGATCTTGTGTTTACAAATGACACAGGAATATTTGAAGCTCGAAAAAGAGCCCCACTACTAAATTCAGATCACTGTATCATAAGAATATTGCCCAAAGTATATGGAAAGCAGCACAAAAGGGTCTTCTCACACCTTGGAAAGAAAACACAACACAGATGTTATTCCCATGACAACATACTGAATCTAAGGTCCATGTTAAAAGACACAAACTGGGATTTATTTACTGAACAAGCTCTTGATAACACAATTGCCAACATAACACATTATCTTAATTTCTGTCTTGATGTTTGTTGTCCAAAAGAGACAATCTTCTTAAAATTCGATCGCTTCTCCTCTTCTCAACTCAAAAAGCTCCGCCGTGAAAAAGAAAGGTTGTTCAAAATGAAAAACAAATCTGGTGTTAAGAGAATGAACACTTTGATTAAGCTTGAATTACAAAGATTGAATGCTCTCTATAACCAGAAGTTTCTTTCATGTAAATCCCCATCAAATATGTGGAAGTTATTAAAGGAAATCACAGGTGGTAAGCAAATGTTGAATGATATTTCTGTAGATGTTAACATGCTTAATGAATCCTTCATATGTATCCCAGCAAATGTTATGATTCCTAACTCAAATAGTGTAAACAATGACTGCTTCTCATGCTTTAACACGAATGATGTCCTCAAGTGTCTTCAATCTCTCAAGCCTACTCAGTCCCTTGGTCCTGATGGTGTTCCTGCTGTTATCCTTAAGAAGTGTGCCGACATCTTGTGTTCCCCGCTAACTGACATTTTCAACGAATCGTTTTCCAAAAGTATTATACCTGAATCATGGAAAAATATCAAGATCGTTCCAGTGCCTAAATCAACAAGTGGACCTAATGTTAAGTTTAGACCCATTTCAATTACCTCACCTTTTTGAAAGTTATGGAAAGACTTATTTTACTTAATCTTGATCCCTCTTTAAAACCTTTCAACGACCCCAACCAGTTTGCTTATAAACATAGTAGGAGTACGTTAGATGCCGCTGTTGTCCTCCACCATAGCATAGTCTCTAGTTTAGATAAAGGAGCTAAATACGTTCGCTGTGCCTTCCTTGATTACACATCTGCATTTGACTCTGTTCCCAGGTCTCTCTTGCTAAGTAAGCTTGCTGCAACACAGGCTGAAAGCTGGACAAATAAGTGGTTGCATTCCTATTTTTCTGAAAGGAAGCAGTACACCGTCTACAATGGAAAGTCCTCCACTACCTCACTTACTTTAGCTGGTGTTCCTCAAGGTGCTGTT